GTTTTTTTTTTTTTTTTTTTTTTTTTGGGGTGAGAGAGAGAGAGTTATGAGCCGCCGTTGCATTGCCTAGAGAACGTTGCCAATACAATCCAAGTAAATATACCGCCAGTTCACCATTTTTCATTATTTTATTATGAAGAAGCTGCCGCTGAAAACCTCCATACTTATTTTACATGCAATACGTCTCAAACAACAGTATCTATCTGATTTCATCGTGACGTGACGGAGTTTGCTAGGAATTGGTGGCAATCGATGGTTATTTTAGAGCCACAAAAACATTACCCTCCAACTTCACTTTAATTACGAGAAGACCACTGATGTTCATTTCTGTAGAAGTGGTCTTTATGGCTGTACGGGTGAACCGTCCAAGGTTTTGACGATTCTCTGTTTCGGCTGGTTTATGTTTGTGTCCGTTTTCAATTTGAATAGATTGTGTGGCCTAATTACGGTAAAAAGCAATAATTTCATTAACTTAATTGATTATTTCTAATTTTTGTAGTCTTTTTAGTATAAATATTTAATGTAACAGTTATGCCACATTATTTTTATAATATAGATAAACAAATATAGAATAAAAAAACTCCGATAATCTCACATAATAGTTATCGTTAGTTATGAAACTTGGTGAGATTCATTAGTCATGCATATTTATTTATTATTAATTGATGATATCATGTGATGATAATGAAGTAGTGTCACATTTACATTAAATATTTTATCCTGTTAATTAACAAAATTGAAAGAATGATATATTTATCTTGAAAACTTAAGTATACTTCTGTCTTGGATAAATTTACCGATCCATTTCATTAATATCAATATCTATTATTACTTCACACACAAAGGTTTAAGAGATGTCGTACTTTATGTATTTGGTGGGATTTAAATGATCAAATTTACCACTTTTCTTTTTGATTCCATATGGATGATAAAATTGTTTGGAGTAGATAAGATATTCTAATCACATTTTAAATAGAAAACAATGAGAAAACATAGTCCTTTTCTTACTTCATATATATTAGGAATTTGGCATACAAAATGGACTCATTGATAATAAAACTAATTTTAGAACATTCTAAACCTTTTAGTTAATAATTTTTGTTTTTGACATACGAAGAAAGGTCTAAGATGAGTGTTAACATATGTAAATTATCCAACTCATAAACAATTACCAATGAGTAGAGAAGCTCACAAGACTCATATACTAGTTAAATGGGTAATTTATTAATATGGGACAATTTCTCGTAATTCCCTGTATGTGCGATTTGTATTAGCACGTGAAAATATAGTCGAAAGATTTGAAAGAAAAACATAAATCAAATATTACAAATTACACTCATGACACAAAACGGAGAATTTAATAGTGTAAACGAGAAAATTTTGCCAATAAGACTTCAATTGTGTAGGTAGAATATTATCAAACATCCAACAACGAAACTAATTGGTTGAGTGCGGACACTCACAAAACTCATACGCTAGTTTGGGGTTATTTTTTTCTCAAATACTAAACAGTTGTTACTTGCTAATAAAATTTGTGTTTGTTTTTTCTTTTGTAATATGTTTGTTGGCAAGTACAATAATTTTTGTAGTTTGTTGTTTATGCGTAACGCGTAACTTTTGGTATTTATGTATCCTTCGAAATTTGAGGTTAGTGTTTTAAGATTGTAAATGAGGTCCAAATGGATCTTAATCAGAGGAAAGCGGCAAAAAATAGAAGAATGAACATCCACACATACTATTATGAGACTCTTTCAAAAGGAGAATAATATATTGTTCTATATACAGAACAAGCACATAAAATTAAGGCATTGGATCGAGTTTTAGCAAAGATTATTTTACTTGGTGCCAACTATATGGAAACATTTCTGTCTTTATAGGAGCTTTGGAAATGGTGGTGCGTGATGAATCATAAAGGTAAAGACTTATGTTATCTTCATGGCCCACTTATCTAGTGGGGTCGTACTATTGGGCTTCGACGAATGTTGGCATCAAAAACCAATAATTTAATTTTAACATGTAAAAGTTAAACTAATATTATAGGGTTAATCGCATATTGAACTCTAAAAAATTATTCGAATTTTAATTTGTACTTTCAAAAATAAAAAATCTTAATTTGTGTCTTTAAAAATAAAAATTTGTATCAATGCGTACCTGCAACTAACAACCGTCAATTTGCGGTCTAAAACTAAATGAGTAAATTACATTTAGATCTCTTTATACTTATCACTTAATCATTTGGACCTCCTCACATTTAAAATATTACTCCTACACCTCTTGATGTTTGTACATGTATAACACATGACCCCTTTGTCGTTGATATTTGTTAATATAACCTTAAAAAATATGATTTCATCCTAATAAAAATTATAATTTTCATGCTAGTCTTTATTTTGTGGGCCCGTTACATTCTAAAGTTTAAAATCAAGTTTATCATTTGAATGCTCAATATAACGCATATATTTATATAATATTTTTTTATATCCAATACAATATATCACTTAAACAGAATTATTTGAATACCTAATTTGATAAACATTTTTAGTCATATTTGAATTCTAAAAGGATATAGGTGTAATATTTCAAATGTGAGGTCTAGGTAATTAAATGACAAATATGAGGGGTCTAGGTGTAATTTATCTATTTAGTTTTAAACAGTAAACTGACGGCTGTTAGCTTGAGGTGCATATTGATACATATTTCTATTTTTGAAGGTGTAAATTAAGATTTTTTTATCTTTGAGGGTGCAAATTAATATTTTTT